GGTGTTCCACCTCTGAAACGAGGGTGGATGCACTGAGCTCTGGTCCCAGGGCGGCAGGGTGGGGCGCGTGGCCCTCCTGTAACCGTGGGGGCAGGGACTTGGGCACTTGTCAGAGGACGCACATGTGTTCCATTCAGGTGCTCTGGCTTCAGGAGGACGCGCCAGGAGCCTCCCAGCCCCCCCAGCCTCTCCCTGAGTCGGCCTGTGCCGGCCTCAGCTAGGCTTCTCTTCAGAGGGCCACCCTGGGCATAGAGCTGTCTCCTTGCTTCACAGACCTGCCAGCTGCTCTCTGCTTGTTCTTTTCACTAGACCATGACCTTGGCCTGCCTTTCGGTCATTCTCCATGTGTGGATGCGTCGTAACTTATAAACCAGCCCGAGGGGTGAGTGTCAGAGCCGTTACTGGAGTTCTGCTTTTTGAGCAAGTCTGCAAAGAGTGACGGTGACACTCAGGGGCTCTGGAGTGACTCACATTGCTGCTCTGTCACCAGTAGTGGCCAGGAGGGAGGGGGCTTTTCAGCTGGGGGTTAGAGGGAGGTGGCCCCTAAGGCCTGGGCCTGGCTGGGGTTGGTGGTCTTCTGGGGGGCCTGGCCAGCGGGGTTGTCCCAGTGGCTCCACAGGGGAGAGTTTGGACAGGAAGCCCCTCCTCTCCGCTACCCCCGCCCCCGGAAGCCTCTGGAGCTACTGTATAAGCCTCTGGGTTTTGCGAACACCCTGAGCGGTGTTTTGATATTTTGCACCTTCCCACTCACCGGGGGCTGATTGTTGAGCCGAGATGCTCAGCGAGCCCGGGGGCCGTCTCTTCTCTTAAACACAATGGGATCAATTAGAGAGACAGGCCAGTACAAAACAAGCGATCGCTCCTCAGAGGAAGGGTAGATGGGACGACAGCCGTGAAGGAAGGAGGCGGCAGAGCGTTATCCAGGCATGAGGACCCCCACCCCCGGCTGCGGGCCGGGGCTGGGCCAGCTGTGTGCATCCCACTGGCACCCGCACCTGTCTGCAGACACAGTCGAGGCCAGCCCTCCCTCCCAGGCACACCTGTGTCCCTGTCCACTCTTTTTGTTGTTCAATCATTTCACTTTCTCTCCTTCGAAACATTACAAATACTGGAGGGCAGAGACCAGGCCCTGAGTCTCCAGCAGGACTGGCCACTGGCAGTGCCCTCAGAGCACCACCCCAGCTCCCAGGCCGAAGTACTGATCCTGTGTGCCAGCGGGCATGAACCCTTCTGTCAGCACCATCATCGTCCCCCTGTTAGTGATGAGAACGCTGAGGCCGACAGGCCCCTCTGGAACTGCCTGAGGGCACAGCTGGTCAGCAGACAGGCCAGGGCTCCCGTCTGTGTGAAGCCAAAGTCCCCAGCCCCCAGGCGCTAAAAGCCCCAGGTTCCTCAACCCACAGACACCCTCACCCCCAGGTTCCCCAACCCCAGGCATCCTGGAACTTCCTGGTGGTCCTACCCATCTCAGAAGTTTTCAGCTCAGGTCAGGGAGTGGGAGGGAGGCAGGGAGGCATCTAAACATGTCACCTGGCCCTCAGAAGACCTATCCTCCCCCAGGCAGGCTGCCTGGTACGGTCAGACCTTGCCGAGTGGTCAGTCCAGACAGAGATGGAGCATGCCTGGCCACTGTCTCAGGGACAGAAAGATGGGCTCTGAGGTGAGATCTGTATCTGCCCAATGCCAGGACCTGGATTCTCGAGGCTCCAGCTCTGGGATCTGTGTCCCCCTGGGCAACCTGGGGCCCAGGGCCGGGTCCCTGCCCTCGACATCCTACAGTCTGAGTGAATGAGACAGGAGGGCCCAGGGTCATAGTTACAGGTATGTTTGGAGGGCAAGGAGGGACAGGAATTCCTCCCAGGATAGAAAGAATTTATTTTTTTCCATCAATTAGTTTTATAGCAAACATTTACAGCAATGCCTAAGCCACTTCATCTTTTAAATTCCAACATACATAGTGAAAAGCAAAAGTTCTATGATTTCTTCTAGCAGTCTTAGAGCTTTTATTTCTATGTTTTCATCTTTGCTCCATTTTTTTAGTGTGAGATCTCTGTGAGTTAGGGGTAAAAGTTCCAGGAACTCACTCAGATTGTCTTAAGGGGAATAAAGGAATATTTATTTTGCTCAAGAAAAACTTCAAGTCTAGAAGTGATGGCTGCAGGCATAGCTGGATCCAGGAGCTCGAATGATGTCATCAGGGAGCTGTCCTTTAGTCTGTGCTGGCTCCATTATTAAGCAGGCCCTTGGGAAAATGGCACTAATGGACACAGAAACAGTTTTCCAGCTCAGCAGCACCCTCCCCCCTTCCAAAGGTGGTTCCCTTTCCTGGGGCTGATCCTCACACGACAAACATGATTGGTGCAGGGTTGAACACGTGGCCGGCATTTGTCCAATGAGAGCCCACTTGGGCCTTTTGGAATGTGCTCATTGGCCAGGTCTGCAAGGGGGCGGACAGTCCCGGGGAAGCGCAAGGGAGGTCCTGGGAAGGGGCGGTGGGTGCTGGGCGCACAGAGACAGCAGGTCCTGAGTGTCCAGGCCCCGGGCTGTGCCGGCCGTCGCCCACCTTCTCCCGCTGGCTCAGACGCCACCCCTACCACGTTCCGCGTTTGCCTCATCGGGAGCGATTTCTGGCCTCTCTCCTGCTCCTCTGATTTCTTCGTGCCAAACTGTTCTCATTAACGTCTTTCTGGTAGCTGGTAAGGCCGATGCCACCCCGTCCCCTACTGACCTGTCACCCTTCCTTTCCAGAAGTTTCCTGGCTAGTCTTAGATTGTTTTTTTCCACTTGAATTTTAGAGTCAGCCTGTCTGTTCACAAGTGTTCTCACCTGTAACTGGAGCAGACGCACAGAGGCAGCACAGCTAGTCCGCGTCCACGTGTCTATGTCCCAGGAGGGCCCTGGCTGCCCTCCTAACCCTTCTGTCTCTCCTGCAACGACACTTGCCGTGTCTCCTGGGGACTTTGCGCAGGGGTGGGCTCCTCCCCTGTTCCCAGAAGCAGGGGGCAGAGAGCGGAAAGAGGGCACAGGCTCCCTCCTCCGAGCTGTGAGCCTTGGCGAGAGAAGGCGGACCCCAGGAGAGGGGTGGGCCCCTGGCACCCCTACAGTCCAGATTCACTCCTCGTCTCCAGGCCAGAAGGCACAGGGTGACCAAGGGAAGTCACCCCCACTCTGGAAGCCAGTGCTGGCCCGAGCCTCTTCGGGGGGCCGTCTCCCTGCTCTGGGACCACAGGATCCCGGGCCTGGACTTCTAACTGGAGGAGCCACTGGGGGCCTCAGACCGGACCCCACAACCTGCCAGCCTGGTCCACTGCTCACGGCCCCCAGAGGTGGCTGTTTTGCTGCTTGTGCACGGCGAAGTATGGTATTTCAAATGTTTTGACATTTAAAATCTGTGTTGGAGACACTCGTTCTGTTTAAATTATATCCAGCAGTGGTGACTCACAAGGAATCAGTTTGTCTCCTGGGCCGGGGCCCGGCGTCCCCTGCACCCCTGCCCAGCCCCTGGCCCAGAGCTGCCCCTCGGCCGCGCCAGCCCCTCAGTGTCCCTCGGAAGGTGGACTCCAAGCGGGGAGTGGAGAAACCGAGGAAGGTGGGGTGGGCCCCCGTCTCTGGACCTGTAGACACAGGAGAGAAGGGTGCCTGGCAGAGATGCTCCCGGGACCCAGTAGGGTCCCAGCTGTGGAAAAGGCCCCACTCGAGGGCCCGGCGGCCCATCTCCGGAGTGTTTGTCCTCTAGTTCAGCGGAGTCTTTTTCAAAGGGAGCTGCCGGCAACCCCAGCCGCTCTCTCCCGGAGGCCTGGCGTCCTCCCAAGCGGGCTCTGGAGCGCCACAGGGCGGGCAGGATCTGCGGAGGCCTCGGCCAGCACCCCAGAGAGAGCGGGTGTGAGCTGCTGGACAGACACCTGACCTCAGGGGGTCCGGGGAGCAAACCCACCCACCTGCCAGAACCTCCGGCCCTTCTTGGCTGCCTTGTCCTCCATGGCCGCTGCCCGTATTAGCAGGACCCAGCTGGACTGTCCTCACCCTGGTGAGACCATCACAGCTGTACCATCGAGGGGGCCTCCGCGCAGGACCCGCAGCTCTGCTCTCAGGGCTGCAGGCAAGCCCGGGGGAGGAGGCATCGCGAGGAGTCAGCGTAGGGCCCAGGGAGCCCCCAGGGCAGCACCTGAGACCTTGTAAGGAACCGCAGCTGCCAGGCCAGGCCAGTGCAGGTGTCTGCCCAGGAGCAGCCTAAAGCCTCCTCCAGTCTGAAGTTCAGAGAGTGTCAAGGGCAGCGCGGCAGGGACAGAGAAGCTCCGGGCCGCGGCAGGAAGCCTCAGGCTGTGAGCGCCTGAAAGCACAGGCCTCGGAATACGCGGTGAGGACCCGCGTGCCCAGCAGACGCCGCGAGGCTGTTATCACACGGCCTGTCCTGAGCCGCGGCGCCAGCTGGAGGAGGCCATGGCCGCTCAGGCTGAGCACAAAGGGCCAGGCTCTGGCTCAAGTCCAGGTCCAGCCATCTCTGAGCCGGTGACTTTGGCAGGCCCCACAGTGCCCCGAGACTCAGCTTCCCTGGAGGCAGACTGCTGCCCCAGCTAGAGGTGCCAAAGGGAAGCACTTTTCAACGCTCTGAGAGGCTGTGCCGTGAGGTGGGGCGGGGAAAGGAGCTTCCCTTTGACTCCTAACTGTCCGCGTGCGGGGTGAGGGATGCTGGCCCGGCCTGGCGGTCCTGGAGAGCAGTCAGGTGGAGCCACATCCACGTCCAGACCTGGGAACATGGAGCCCCAGCCCTTCACTGCAGCCAGGACGCCTCAAGGTCTCTCTCCACCCCATCTACAGGCTGGACCCCCACACCCAGGGGCTCCCCAAGGTGGCGGAGAGTCTGCGAACCTCCTCAGAGCTAGGGTGGGAGAGCAGGCAGAGAGTCGGTCGGGTGAGGGGCGGGCCAAACGCCACCCACACTCCAGGCCCTCGACCCCCGCTGGCAAGTGTCCGATGCGCCCTTCCCCGTCCCTCTGCAGATCAACACCTTCATGTCCTTCATCTTCCCCATGGTGGTCATCTCCATCTTGAACACCATCATCGCCAACAAGCTGACTGTGATGGTCCGCCAGGCGGCCGAGCAGGGCCGGGTGTGCACGGCTGGGGACCAGCACAGCAACTTCAGCATGTCCATCGAGCCCGGCAGGGCCCAGGCCCTGCGGCACGGCGTCCAGGTCTTACGTACGTAACAGCTGGGCCCCACAGGGGTGGGTGGTGGCCAGGGGCCGGCAACGCAGTGAGCTCCCCACCAACAAACCAGGGAGGCTTAGAGATCCGGGTAGTGGAGCATGTCGGGGCCAAGGCCACTAGACCGCGAGTCCCCTCCCCACCGCCAGCCCCTGGTAACCATCGTTCTACTTCCTGAGCCTACGAATTTGACAACGCTCAGTGCCGACTGTAGGCGGAATCCCACGGTATTTGTGCTGTTTCTGACTGTTTATTCACGTGAGTAACAACGTCCTCAAGTCTCATCCATGCGGTCGCAGGTGTCAGGATGCCCTTCCTTTTCAAGACTGAATAGCATTCCACGGTAGGGAAGGGCCGCGTTTTGTTTCTCCATCATCCGCCGGTGGACGCCTGGGCTGCGTCCACCGTGTGGCCTCTGTGCCAGGAGCTGCTGTGCTGAGGCGCTGGAGCCCGTCTGCGCTCCGGCTTTCCGTTCTTTGGGGGCATTTGCCCGGGGGTAGAGTTGCTGAATCATATGCTAATTCCATTTTTGACTTTTTGAATTAAAAAATATTTTTAAACAGCCACACAGTTTCTGAAGTGGCTGCACCATTTTACATTCCCACCAACAGTGCACAAGTGTTCCAGTGTTTCCATGCCTTCCCCCAAATTGCTGTTTTCTGTTCTGCTTTTGTTCTCTTGGCGGTTGCCTTCCTACTGTGTGCGAGGCGGTATCCTGCTGCAGCTTTGACTGGCCTTTCCCTGGTGATCAGCCACGCCGAGCACCTTTTCAGGGGCTTTTAGGCCATTCGTAGATCTTCAGAGAAACGACTGCTCATTGCCCACTTTTGAACAGGGCTGTTGCCTTTTGTTGCTGCGTTTAGCGCACTGCCAACCCAGGATGCTAACCCCTTGTCTGAGATGTGATGCGAATGTGCTGCCTTTTCAGTCTGTTAACTGTGTCCTTTAATACGCGGGTTCTCATTTTCGTGTAGCCCAGATTATTTACTTGTTCTTTCATCTGTACGTTTGGTGCACTAAGAAGTCACTTTCAAATTAAATATTGTGAAAATTTTGTGCTGTGTTTTCTTCTGAGTGTTTCATATGCTTAGCTATTATGTCTGGATCTTCGATCCATTTTGAGTTCATTTTTGCACATGGTGTGAGGTAAGGGTCCAGCTCCATTCTTTTGCTTGTCAGTGTCCGGTTTTCCTAGCACATTTGTTGAAAAGACAGCCTTCCCCAGTGAATGGCCTTGGTGTCCTGCAGGAGGTCATCTGACCATATGTGTCAGGGAGTCATTCCAGGTCCTCTGTTCTAGGCTGTTGGTCTGCATGTCTGTCCTGATGCCAGCACCGCACTGTTTTGATGACTGTAGCTTTGTGGTAGGTTTGAAGTCGGGAGGTGTGATTCCTCCAGCTTTGTTCTTCTTTCTCAAGATGTTTTGGCTGTTCAGGGTCCCTTGAGATTCCAAGTGAATTCTCCTACTTCTGCCCAAGATGTCATCAGCATTTCAATCGATATTGCATTGAATCCGTAGATCGCTTTGGGCAGCCTTGTCATCCTAACAGGATTAAGTCTTTCAACCCATGGACACAGGACGTGTCCGTCCACCTCCCTGAGGCCCGTGTCTGTGTCGCAGGTGCCGTGGTCATCGCCTTCGTGGTCTGCTGGCTGCCTTACCACGTGCGGCGCCTTATGTTCTGCTACATCTCGGACGAGCAGTGGACCCCGTGAGTACCGGGAGGCTGGGGCGGGGCATGCCCCCCAGAGCAGGAGGGTGCAGGGGGGACGCTGGGAGGAGCGGCTCAGCCGCGGGTCAGGTGTCCCCCAGTGGGCCCCCAGGTGGGACTGTGACTGGGCTGGGGGCAGAAGGCGGTGGAGACACAGACTCTCAAGGAAGCTGCTGCCAGAGAACAGAAGCAGATGGTAAGACAGTCCCCGAATGAGACAGGCTTGGGGCGCCTGGAGAGTGACAAGGCAAGGATGGCTCTGCTGTGTGGGAGAAGGGACGGTGCCTGCCAGGGCTCCCAGGCCACCCTCAGCCTGGAGGAGCTGCTCAGAGGACCCCCAGGCTCCAAGAGCATCACGCCCATGCTGTGACGTGTGCCGGTGAGGCCATATGACACGTGGACACCAGCGAGGCCGGCCTGGCCAGTGGGGCCTCCCTGAGACGGCAGCCTTTCTGGATCCCACTGTGTGAGCTCTTCTGCACAGCAAGGCTGCCAGATCCAAGGGTCATGGGTTCTTCCAAGTGATGGGGAGCCCCTGGGGAGAGCAAGTCTGGGAAGGAAGAGAAGTTACAGGGTGTGGAGCACAAGTTAAAATGAAGGATTTCAGAAGCTCAGGGCAGCCTGGTGGTGAAGGGAGCTGCCTGGTGAGGGAGTGAGGTCCCTGTGGGTGGAGGCAAGCAAGCCGGGGATGAGGTGCACAGCTGCTGGGAGGTTTGGACTGGGTTCCTGCCCTGGCTATTCAGTTGAGGGCAGGCTCCAGCCTAGCCCTGCAGCCCTGGCTGGGACTCTGCACAAGGAAGGGCAGGCCAGGCGGGCTGCAGCGAGAGGTGGAGACTGCAGCAAAGTGGAGAGGCCCACCCTGCCCCAGGAGGCGGCTGCAACTCGGCTCAGCAGCTCAGCTGACTGGTGCCAGGCGGGAGTGTGGTCAGGACTTCCAGCTCCTCAAGAGAAGCCAGAACCCTGGAATTTATTAGGAAATACCCCCACATCAGAAAATGTACCAGTGCTTTTGCATTATTGCCCCACACCCCCATGCCTGCAGCCGCCATCAGCCAGGGGCTGCCGCTCGCAGGCCCCGCGGCCCCGCGGCCCCAGCGGGTTCTGAGCACCCTCTCCCGGCCACAGGTTCCTCTACGACTTCTACCACTACTTCTACATGCTGACCAACGCCCTCTTCTACGTCAGCTCCACCATCAACCCCATCCTCTACAACCTCGTCTCCGCCAGCTTCCGCCAGACCTTCCTGTCCACCCTGGCCTGCCTCTGTCCCCCGTGGGGGCGCAGGAGGAAGAGGCCGACCTTCTCGAGGAAGGCTGACAGCGTGTCCAGCAACCACACCTTCTCCAGCAACGTCACCCGGGAAGCGCTGTACTAGGGCGGCAGGGCTGGGACGGGCGGGAGGGGCTGCCACTCAGCCTCCGCCCCTGACTCAGCAAGGGGGTGGCCCACGTGGGCGCTGCTGCTGGGGGGGCCGCACTCCAGGGGCCCCCGCTTCTTCTCCACACCTCCTCTCTCCCGTTCCCTCTCCCCCGCCTCCTCTCTTCTTTGAAAGCCAGAGAGAGGTTGATCCAGATCCAAAAAGGGCCTTGAATGAAGAGAAATTAGTGTTGGGTGGAAGGCAGGCTTCTTTGTTCTCGGACTAATGGATGTCGGGAGAGAAAGAAAGGAGCAGTTGGGGCCAGGCTCCCCGGCAGCCAGGCCGGCGTGGGGAGGGCGGTGACCCCGAGAGCTGGCGCTGGAAGGAGCCCTGCCGGCAGGACCACCACTGTCCTGGTGCCGCAGAGAAGACCCCCATTGCGCCTCCTCAGCTCAGAAGCGAGTCAGCCCCACACGCCGCAGGCACCTGTCCCCACACCTCTCCGAGGACGAGTCCCAGAAGGCTTTGACATCTCAAGAGGACAATGAAGGGGCCAGCCCGGTATTACCCCGACCCAGCCCTCCCCGTCTCGCCTGTGGTCAGAGGACGCGAGGCTCTGCAGGGACACCGCAGGGCAGCTCGGCCTCAAGCCCCTCCATCCCGGCTCTGCAGAATCAAGGCCGGGTCAGTGCAGTCCCAGTGGCCCAGGCCATGACAGGGACGTCCCCGTGCCCTCTCACAGCCGCTGTCAAGCTGAGCTCCTGCAGCCTGGCTCCGAGCTGCCTCCGGGTGTTCGTCCCAAGGCAGAGGGGAGTCTCAGCTGGGCTCCAAGAGATGCCAGCCCTGGGGACTGGGCCGCAGGTGAGGAGGAGGAGCCATGGGTACAGGCAGCCCGCTGGCCAGCAGCCAGGCTGAGGCCCAGACCTGTCTGTCACGGCCACCAGGCAGGCCCAGCCCCAGCTTCGGGTGCCCAGCAGCACAGGCACCTCCTTGGTGTCTGGGAGCCAGTCTCCAGACAGAATGGCCTGGCCCCAGGAAGGTGCCCTGCGCCAGGGGAAAGCGGATCCCAGGGAAGCTGCCCTGGACCAGCTGGGACCTCGAGTGGCAGAAAGGCCCTGAGAGTGACACGCAGGCCCTTTGAAGCAGGTTTTCCCTGGGCCTGGGAGCAGGCAGACGGTTGGACAGGCAGACAACCCACGGGGTCAGCCCTGACTTGGGATCAGAGTCAGGGTCAGCCAGGACTCAGCCTCCCCACCCACAAGCACGGCGAGTTGGAGGCTGCATTGTCCAGTGTCACTTCGGATCTGGACACTCTGCTGTGAATCAATGTATGACTTGAGCCCCACAAAATCCTCCTCCGAGCTATTCACCAAGAACAGGGCCACCAGCTGGTCCCCAGGCCAGGCAGCCCTCCCATGACTCAGTGGCCACTGTCGCCGGGGGGAGCCCAGCAGACAGGCCCAAGGTCATTGCAGCCCCCAGCCCGGCCCGGCAAGTGGGCATCTGAGTTCAGCAAAGATCAAGTCCAGGCCCGGGCATCAGCCTCCAAGAGGAGGGCCTGGGTTCTGTGAACAGGTCCCCAGGCCGCCCCGACATCCCTGGGCCTCGGGCCCCCTTCAGACCCAGCGAGTCCCCTGAGCCCTGGGCGTGGGCGCGCTCTTCCCACCCACCCAGCCACGACTGGATGTGACGGCCCCGGAGGCCCCAGCCTGGAGTGGACGGAGGGGACGGTTCCCTGAGGTGGGAGCGGAGCGGACGCGGGATGAGGTGCCCACAGCCCCAGGCGCCGTGGGGGGCAAGTGGGTGGGGCCTGCAGCTGAGCCCCGAGTCCCCTTTGCTGTGCCCACTTCACGGCACAGGAGGGGACCCGTGTCTGCCCCAGTTCTGGCCACATCTCCTTTCAACCTCAGAGGCCGGCTCTGTGTGCCGTGCACGTGGTCTCAGAGCCCAGTGCCCACGTGACCGGTCAACAGTGATGGCAAACCCCCACGGTATGCGCTGGCCCCGCCGCATCACACGTCCTGCAGCGACAGGGACAACCCCTGCCTCTCAGGAAAGGAGTAAAGGAGACTGTGGACCCCGCGACCTGCCCCCTGAGGGGGCCAGCACTCACTCATTCCTCATCAGACGTTCACTGGCGCGCAGACGGCCCTGCGCTGGGCTCTTTCACCGAAAACATCTTGGCTCTGGGCCCATCTCTCAAAGACTGGGGGCTGGGGACCAGGTCCCCCAGCTCGGGTCCTGCCCCCACTCAGAGCTTTAAGAAGCCACTTGTGCAGGGGCAGGCCCCTCCTGAGCCACGGGGTCCCGTGGGGCCTGGAGCTGGGGAGACCTGGATCCACACTGGCCACGTGGCAACATCCTGCCTCTCAGTGTCCTGATCTGCGGCCTGGGCACAGGGGAGGCCCAATGGAGAGGGGGTGCAGGGTCCTGTGACTGTTTGACTCTGGTCTCCAAGGCCCCTCAACCAGCCTAGGGACCTGAGGGACCAAGGCAGCTTCTCCCCGGGGGCCAGCAGGTGGGGACGCGGGGCAGGGCAGCACTAAGCCTGCCCCCTGGCTCAGCCACCCCGCCTGGACCCTCCCACCCGGAGATGCCTTCTGCATCGGGGAGTGCCCCTCCGCTCTGCTCTTCCCCTGCTCCACCTTCAGCCCCCACAGCAGGGCTCCTGATGGCCCCCAGCCTGGGGGATGAGGAGGGAAGCGTCCTTCTAGACTGCAGGCCCCCGTCCTCCCCCCGTGAGCCTCCTTGGCAGTCTTCCCCGCGGTCCCCCTTCACTCATTCATTCACCTGCCAGGTGCCCCTTCATCAAGTGACTCGACGTCCCATTCTGATGGGCACGGGGCGAGGGCTGAGGCTCCCGGCCTCTGCACTTACGAGTCACCGGCCTCATCAGCAAGGAAGTCCCAGGACTCCCACTCCAGTAGGTGCACTGACATTTTACGAGAATATCCAAAGAAATAAAACTCTAACACAGGAATTTCAGGCTCATCATGGAGAAAGAAATTTGGGGCAGTGGCAGGCAGTCCCAGACCCTAGTCGCACCTCAGTGCCACAGTCCCATGAGGCCAGAGCTCTGGATAAGCCCCTCTGGCCTCCTGCAGGTTTTCTGAGCTCCGGGCCCTGTTCCAGCAGCACAGGGACAGGAGAGGAATCCACTCTCCTACAGGAAGGCACCTCTGGCCCCATCGCTGTCGCTAGGCAACAGGGGGAGGACTTGGGAGAGAATTCCATACATTTTAAAATACATTTGAAGAAAGAAAAAAAAAGCCAGTAGCTGGCTCCGGAGCCTGAGTACAGAAAAAACCCCTCCTTCCCTCCCTCCCTCTCCCCTCCCCACCCCACCTTCCTCTCACTGCCCCCCACCGCTTCCCACAATTATGATTTGAATTCCAGTTTTTATCAGAACACCATGGAAACCACGTCCAGGCTGAATTCACGAAGGGAATGACTCCGCGTGGAGAGAACGGGGCAAGGCGGGGCGAGGAGCCACTGGGGAAGGGGAGACGCAGAGCTGGGGCCCGCGGACACGCCCAGCCTGCACCCTGACCCTAACCCTAACCCTAACCCTAACCCTCACCCTAACCCTAATCCTCACCCTCACCCTAACCCTCCCGGCCCGCCGGCCTGCTCCCCGGGTCAGAGAGGGCGCCAGTTCTCAGCCTGCGGGCCAGCTCACGAGGGGGTCAGCCAGCCCCTGGACGCCCAGACACCGCCCTCCTATCTGCCTGGGCCCCGCCCCGTCCCACCTCCCCTCCTCCCTCTGGGGTGAAGAGAGAGATGTGGGGGACTCATCCTGCTCCCAGAACCCCCCCCCGGGAGCCCCAGCCAGGCCCAGAATCAGGGCCCAAAGCAAGAGCCCCTCCCCTCAGTTCCTGCCATCCCCGACCTGTTTCAAGAATGACGGGGTTCCTTGCGGGAGGGCTGTAGCACAGACTGGGGCTCAGGCCCCACTCTGCACCCCAGGGCCTTGGGTTTGGAGCCTGCCGGCAGTGGCCAGGTCAGGGACCCTGCAGAGAGGTGCCTGCCTCCCTCCGCCCTGAGGGCCCCCTGCCCCGGGCGCCAGGCTCCGCCAGCTCATCCAGTTCCCCACACAGGGCTCCGCTCCCCAGCCCGGGGGCGGCTGAGCTGCTGACACTGGACTGCCTGTCACGGTGCCAGTGGAACGGGGTGCAGTGAGAAGACAAGCCCCCTGACGGCTACTTCTGAGGACCAGCCAGCCGAGCAGTCGCCCCCCGTGACCCCGCAATCTGCTCATTTTGACTGCACGGGGCCCGGCATTGAAAAGGCACTCAAAACTCTAGCGAACAAGCTGACACATGTCCACCGCCCTAGCCAGTTCTTGCTGGAGACGCGGCAGGGCCCCTGTCCTGGGGCGCACGTGGAGCTGGGCCCCAAACAGGTGACCAGGATGCTCTGGCCTAGGGCAGGCCTGCCGGCCGGTCACTGCTACAGCAGGACGCCTGGAGAGCCGGCCAGCCTGTGGTGTCCCCTGGGATGACACTGATGTCCTTAAATGTGCGGCCACCTGCGCTGCTCAGCAGAGGGAGAGCTGACAGCAGCGCCACTGCCTGCGGGCACAGCCCGGGGCCAGGTGACCATGCCTGGCTTTCTGTGAGGAAGCGGCCCTGAGGGTTGGGATGGACGGAGCCCCAGAGGGAAGCGGCAGGTGTGGGTGCATCTCGGAGCGGGACCAACGCCAGAAAAGGGGGGCATGAGACCACCTGTCCTCCTCCCCCAGGGGTCTCCCCCAAGAAGTGGCACCATTTCATCGCCCCCCCGGCCCGCCGCCACCGCTCAGGGGGCCCCGCAAGGTGGATGAAGGCCCGATGGGCTCCCAGGCCCCCTGTCTCTTGGGAGGACGGGCGTGTTCCTGGGCTCTGCCTCCTAGTGTACAATCTGAACAGAACTTCCAGAGGGACATCCTGCTCGAGCCGTGTTGCCAGCTGTTCCATCAGTTTAAAGACCCAAGCCCCACCACCTCTGCCCCCGCAGGACCCACAGACGTACCTTATAAGTCACGTCACACTGGCCACTCCGGGGCTGCCGGGCAGACATCCCGGGGGGCGGCTGTGACGGGGGAGCCGGGGTGTCTGCAGGCTCCACCTGCAGTCACCGAGCTGGGAGCACGTGTTGTGGGGACTGATGCTTCCCCTAGACCTGCCCTCCACCCCCTCACAAGGGTTGGAGGATCGATCCCCTGCCCGGCAGCTGTGGGCAACCCCGAGAGAGTGTCCTGCCCTGACCGTGTCCCCAGACACCAGGCCAAAACTGTCCTGGCCCTTCCAGGGACCACCTCCCAGAGAGTTGACCAGGACTCAAGTCCTCATCTCAGGGTGGTCCTGGGAAATAGCCCCCCCGGGGTGGGATATGGGGATGAGTCCCAAGGGCCCAGTTGCTGATTGTAAGTGGGGGTCCGAGCCAGAGAATAAAGAAAGACATTAACCCAGAAGCCCATACTGGCCGTTTTGGTTGTCCTTCAAGTTTTAACTTCCCTCCGAATCCACCTGCTAGGTTGTTCAGGGAGGGAATTGGGACCAGGGGTGGATGGAAAGGGAACGAGGCCCCGGGGTGGGCGGGGCTGCGGAAGGAGCGCCCGGACCTGGTCCCCCACCCGGGGTCCCCGCCTGTCTAGCTTGCTGTGTGCGCATTCATCTTCAAAATGCAAAACCTTCATCTTTTATTATAAAAGTGATTCATTCCCTTGTGAAAAATTTAAATAACATGAAAGAGTACAAAGCGCAGGGCAGAGTCTCGGCGTCGTGCCTGGCCCCCCCCCCCAGGTGAGAGCTGCCGGCAGGCGGGCGAGCAGCCTGCCCGGGGCTGTGGGCACCGCCAGCTGCTGCCATGAAAACACTCCAGCCTCGAGCGGCACACGAGCTCACGCTGGCACACACTTACACGTGCACACACGCACACACGTCTGAGGCCGTCAGTGCACACAGGATTCCCCACTTCCTTTGTGTGCACTTGGAAAGCCATGTTTTAGACACAAAGTTAAATTCCTGACATCCCGGTATTTCCAAAAGCAAATACCTGTCCTATGCAGTGTGAGGTCCCTGTCCCCAGAGCAGCCAAGCAGAGGATGTATCGTGTCTCAACAGGCCTCAGCTGACCCCCTGGGAGCCCAGAGATGGCCCTTCAGGGGGCCTGGGGTGCGGGGCCTCTTGCTCCCCTCCCTCTTCCTTTATTCAGCCTCACAGGATGCAGCCCAGGGGAGGCGGGGGAGGGGCGCCAAAGAGGGGGCGGGGACAGGGAGGAGGGGGATGGCAGGGAAGGGACGCGGAACCCCCTCTGCTGCCCTCTCTCGGGTTGTGCGACCTCACAGCAGCCCCTGGGCCCCTGGGCCCCAAACAGGGCAGGGGATGGCTCCTTTCCTGATGAGGAAACTGGGGCCTGGGGGAGGCTCTGCCCGGCGGCAAGGCAGAGGACACGTGGGTCTCGCAGCTCCGGCCCAGCCCTCTTTCCACCAGGACTCCTTCCCCGACTGTACCCCTGGCCACAGGACTACCGGCCCCTGGGCAGTCGCTCAGCCCACCTGCCCCCACACCAAGAGTCCCTTTACTGTCCCTTATTCCTCCAAATGGGCTTTTCCCCAGAAGACTGACGAGCACATGGGTCACAGCCTCTGCAGCCTGCGGGGCCGCATCGAGGAGCCGGGGCCAGCTGAGGGCCAGCGTCATCTGAGGAGCCTGATGAAGGCGTGAAAACTTATTTCAAAGTC